TATACAGGGCCGGCGGAAAACGTGGTGTAGGTGAGGGTAAACACCACTCGGAAAATTCCCGTTGTGGTGAATTCAACCGTCGGCGAATTGATATTGGCGAGAGAAACTCAGCTATATTTTGTTCATTTTTGTACAGCGCGCTGGCAATCCAGCCAATCAGAATACGACGAGTTGGCGAGTCTCTTTTTATAGGGTCTCACATCACTGCATGTAGGCTACGGTCAAACGGATGCTACAGATGCTTCGAAGCGTTTGATCGACCAATCAGAATAAAGAAATTTACATTCTTTTTATTTTGATTGGTCGATGAAACGCTTCCGAAGCATCTGCAGCATCCGCTTGACCGTAGCCGTAGTAGCATGTGGAGAGGATGCGCATAAGGCTGGTTCTACATTAGTCGCAAGACGATCGCAAACGTCTTGCGACAGCCAATCAAAAGCGTCAATTTTAAAATTGATGCTTCCGATTGATTGTCGCAAGACGCTTGCGATCGCCTTGCGACTAATGTAGAACCAGCCTAATGCGTATAAAATCAGGACCGTTATCTAGAATATGGCGCCTAATGCGTATTATACGTGTCAAGTGGCAGTCAAGATTCTTGGTCGAGCGGTCACGCGAGGTGAATTCACAGTTATCGATAGCTTGTTTCGGGAGTATTAGTCACATTGAGATCACGTGCGCGATTTGTAACGCTTGAATTCGTGACTTCGTGTTCAATTCGTGTGTGAAAGTGTTGTCAGTGTAAACTCGCTTTCTTCGACTTAATCTCGAGAAGTAAGCAAATTTTTTTCTTACTATTTAATTATAATACTGCTACGTATTAGGAAATAAATATTTTATATATGTTGTTTGTTCGACAACGATAATACGAGGTCGTACCGTTTCAAGGACAACACGTTTGCTTACACGAAGTTATATTTGCACATACACACGTGTATAATTCGTGTGTGAAAGTATTGTCAGTGTGTAGACATAGGTCTCGATATTCAGATAATATACAGATCAGTGGGGTATCCGAACGCAGCCTTACAAGTCACGTAGCATCACGTAGTCACGTGACAAGCAATACAATAGTGAAGCGAACAAAACCGGTGTTTGAGATGTCGAGAGAATGGATAAGTTCGTCATCAAAGTGAGACATCAAAGCAAGAGAGACAGCGAAGAAAGCACCGCCAGTGCTCTTCGCCCTATTCAGCTAAGCGAACGCAATCGATGTGGAAGCGACGTGGAATCAATCTTAACCTCAAACAGTGACGAAGATCTAAATGTTAAATGTAGAAGAGTTGATGAAAATCAAGAAAATTGTGCAAATGACTCGAAATCGTAAGTAATTGCATATTGCATAAAATAAAAAATAATGCAAACAATGCATTCAAAATAATGCATACAAAAATATTATTATCAATATTATTATACAGTATCAGTGTTATTTCCACGGTGGCAGAAGGCAAATCCTTGACTTGAATTTAATCCAAATAAGAAAGCAATTTGCACTATTTGTACTGAAGCGTCGAAAAAAAAATTAATTTTGTCTTACGATTCACGCGCTCTGAAATCAAAGGAAGCCTGGGTCGACACAGGATTTAACACCTGGCATAACGCTACGTCCAGAATCAAGAAACATTCAACAAGTTCATTACACATAGACAGTACTGAAGCTCTAGCAAAACTGAAGACAGTAAACATTATTCAACGTTTATCAAGTGCAACAGAAAAGCAAATGATGAATCACCGGACAGCACTGCGAAAAATTTTCAGTACCTTAAAAGTATTAGCAAAACAAGGGCTGCCCTTGCGTGGCATCAATAACGATGAAAATTCGAACTTTATACAAATATTAAAAGCATGCGCAGAAGATGTATCGGAACTGGAATCGTGGCTGAAACGGAATGGCCACAAATGGTTACATCATGATGTGCAAAACGAAATATTAGAACTCATGGCTGCAAAAGTTATGTCAGAAAATCTTGCGGAAATAAGACAAGCAGAATTCTGTGCGTTACTTTTGGACGAAACTTCTGACTTGTCGAAGATCGAACAGATATCGATATGTTTGAGAATTGTTTCACAAAATCTTGTGTCGTCAGAATTTTTTCTCGGATTTTATTCCACGTCTTCCACGAAGGCCGAAACTCTATTCCAAATCGTCCAAGATGTTTTTCTTCGCTTCAATTTGCCGCTTACAAAACTTAGAGGCCAATGTTACGACGGAGCAGCGAATGTTTCGGGAAAAATAACTGGTTTGCAAACTCGACTCAGGGAAATTGAACCTCGTGCTTTATATGTACATTGCAATGCCCATAACCTGAATCTTGTGGTCCAGGATGCCATGGAAGGAGTTCCTGCTATAAGAAAATTCATAGGAGTAGTAAAAGATATGATCAATTTTGTAAAAGATTCACCGAAACGTATCTCGCAATTTCAACAACTCCAGTCAGAAAGAGAATCAGAATCAGAAAGTTCCACGAATAAAAACCTTGCCCTCGCCGCCTACTGCCCAACCAGGTATTTTGATCGCATAATTTCAGTTTTATACAGACAGAATTTTCAGCAGTTTCAGCTCATGTATTTGCAAATGTATGTTACAGGTGGGTCATGCGAATAAGTTCTCTGAAAACAGTCCGAGCCAACTACGAATCACTGATGAAATTTTTCATGGAGCGGATTACAGATTGTGAAGTCGACAGCATCGTCTCGGCCAAAGCATCAGGATATTTTGAACATATGAGAACTTTTGAGTTTTTCTTTTTTTTAACAATGATAATTGAATTACTTGATCGGATAGAAATTTTGAATAAAGACCTTCAGAACTCGGAACTAAGCGTGAATGACTCGTATCGAAAAATCGAGGGAGTAATGTATTATATAAATGTATCTCGCGATTCCAAATTCGAAATAATTTGGCAGAAAAGCAATGACGGAGTAAGAAAAGAATTAGATATTGATGAACCACAGCTACCGCGTCAACGGAAAATTCCAAAGCGATTAGATACGAGCAATACCGAGAATCTTGTTTTTAAAACTCCGAAAGAAATGTACCGTAAAATATATTTTGAAATTTACGACCGAGTTTTGACGTCTTTAAACAATCGTTTTGATACGGAAGCAGCTCGATTTCTCAAATCTTTAGAAGCCTTTGCCGTTGGCGAATCTACAAATGTTACAGAAATTATCAATTTTTATGGAGACGACTTTGAAAAAGATCGACTTGTCAGCGATAGGGATATGCTTTTGAATCTGACGAGCAGAAGTAATGTTAAAGTATCAAATTTAAGGGAAATTGTTAATTTTTTACGCAAAAACGAATGGAGTATGGGGCTCATTCCCGACTATGTCAAATTTATAAAATTGCTAATGACAATCCCGGGTTCGTCATGCACCAATGAAAGAAGTTTTTCTGTTCTTCGGCGATTAAAAAATTATCTGAGAACAACAATGTTGCAAGATCGACTTAACCATGTAGCAATATTACATATATACAACGACATAACTGATAAACTCGATATTGAAATTTTAATGGACGAATTTATAGCTCGAAATGTAAAACGTACAACGGTATTTGCATTGTCCAAAAAATAAATAAACTGTTTAACTGTATTTCTGCTATTGAAAAATTTAAAATTTTTGGAGGGACCCCCCCCTCCCCCCCCGGTCAACAATCCTGGTCACCACTCGGGCTGTACTTGTTCCGCCGGCCCTGTATATATATATCTTTTAATATCTTGACACGACTGTGTTCCGTTTGCTTCCCTCCCCAATTGAATCCAACATTTGAGGGCCGGGATAACAGCAAATAACGAGAGCGATTAGAACAATCGAGAAGGAAAGCGGACATCCTAGTTCTGCAATAATAAAAGGCGTGCCGAGAAGAAGATGAAGTCATTGAGCGAACTCAGTATAGCGAAGCTCAAAAATTTGCTAAAAGAAAGGAAACTATCTACAGCGGGAACGAAGGCAGAGCTGCTAATTCGCTTGCAAAAACCGCATGTCCTGATATAACGTCCATGATGGCGGCGCAAGAGGTCAGCGAGGAGAGTGATCGCGTGCATTCGGAAACGGTGGATGTGGCAATGAGAGATGCTGCAGGCGCAGCAAGCGCTATATTGACGAGTTCTGTGACCGCGAGTGCAAGTCAGAAAGAGATTGAATTGTACTGGAAGGAGAAAGAACTCATCAAAAAAGAGTTAGCGTTGGCCAAGAGAGAAATCGAGATCCTGCGACTAGCTCAAGCGTGTGGTGGCGCTGTCGCACAAGGATACGAGGTGGCGAAATCGGTTGCGAGCAAGCGTCGAATCTTCGAGAGGGCATACAGAGAGAGGCGCAAGAATCGGCGTCTGGTGACCATCTTGTAAGGACGAATGGCGGTACACAAGAGATCGCGCACGTTCAGAGGATTAATTTGACAAGCATTGCGGAGTTGCTCAAAACTTTTGACGATGCAGAGATTATGAAGCATGGGAAGGACAAATCAAGCTGTTAAGAGAAGTTTATCACCTGGATGACAATACGGCAAAAATCCTAGTAGATATGCGACTTAAAGGAAGAGCTTATGAATGGTTCCATTCCAAACCAGAGTATTTCAGATTAAGTTTCGACGAGCTTTTAAGGGAGCTACGACGAATGTTCCAGTTTCAACAAAGCAAAGTAACATTGCCCAAAAAATTTGAGGAGCGGTCATGGAATAAAGCTGAGTCTATTCATAAATACGTTCATGATAAGATTATTCTGGGAAACAAAATCTCTGTGCCGGACGATGAAATCCTAGGATACGTTATAGAGGGAATTCCTGATGTACAGCTGCGCGACCAAGCACGCATACAATTATTTAACAACGTGGACGCTTTGTTACAAACTTTCGAAAAAATCTCGTTGAGCGACAGAATAAGTAGCGGTTCGAATAAACAAGGAAAGGGCAACTTCAATCAAAAAATCAAAGAGAGCCATCAGAAATCTACAGGAAATCATCAAGGAGGAGATCGTCAGAAGTCGCTCAAACGTTGTTTCAACTGTGGCGAACATTCACACATAGGAGCTGAGTGTCCATCGAAATCGGAGGGAATGAAGTGTTTTAAATGTGCTGAGCAAGGACATGGCATCCAAATGCACGAAAAAGAATGACACTGTGAAAAATAAGATTGCGAAAAGCGATATAGTGAAAAGCGGTTGTGCGAAATTGCAATCAGAAAACCAAAGATGAACCAAAAAAGTTAGATTAAGTAACACTAAAATATGCACTCTCTTAGATACCGGTAGCGATATAAGTTTATTAAGCAAAGCGAAATATGATGAATCAGATTTACCTTCGCTGAATAGGAACTCTATTGTTTTCCGCGACGTTGGCGCTAAAGATAATAGAACGTTAGATTTTGACACTACGTTAGAGGTCCATGATCATGCTTATATTGTTCGTGTTCATATAATTCCAGATAATTTAGCATTGCATGATTTCTTACTCGGTAATGATTTTATTGATCGCGTGGAATTGAATATCAAAGGTGATAACGTGCGTATCAGTCCAATAGTGGAAGAGACACCCGAAGTGCTGAATATACAGGCGTTGAGCGACATTCAATTAGACTTCTCTACGTTAGCAAACCCCAAGCATAAATGGGATAACCAAAATGGCATCGAATTATATTCATAAACAAATGTACAAATCTGATCTTAAAATGTCAATTGTGGTTAAGGACGATGAACCCGTCTGTCAGAGGGCGAAGCGACTGTCGACGTCTGAAAAAGAATTAGTCAACAAGCAAATTGACGAGTGGATTAGAGATGGTATAGTGCAGCCGTCTATTTCTGAATATGCAAGTCCGATAGTTCTCGTTAAGAAAAGAGACGGATCTGTTAGAGTTTGCGTCTTTAGGGTTAGATTTCCTTAAAAAGCAAACGATGTGACAAAATGTGACTACAAGACAAAATGTGACTACAAGAAAAATCAAATAACGATAAAAGACAGCACATTAAAATTACATCCATGTAATAAAATTATTTTGAAGCCACGTAGCGAAACAATTATACGAGCCGCAGCCAACCACAATTGGATAGGGATAGTCCGAACTGAAGAAATAACACTAGGAGTTTATATTGAAAGCTGTCTGGTGGAAACAAAAAATTTTTCATGCCCTGTGAGCATAATAAATACAACGGATAACATCATTAAAATGCCCCACTCGACGAATAGTCACACTGGAGGACATGGAGAGAAATACGAAAGAAATAAACATAATAGAAACGGGGAGGAAAATTAAAAATATCATTCCTCGTAAACAACAAATCTGACAATTACTGCGAACGCAACATTTAAATGAAGAAGAGAGTCAGGCACTCTTAAAAATCTGCGAAGATTATAGTGATATATTTCACTTAGAGGGAGAACCACTCACATGCACTGCGACGGTAGAGCATGAAATGAAGACACGTACCGACATCGCACCGATGAACGTTAGACCATATCGCTTGCCAGCGAAACATAAAACAGAAGTCAATCGACAAATAAATGAAATGCTAAAAAACGAAATCACTAATGAATGCATTACTGCTAGTAGTACCGAAAAAGACAGACGCATCAGGAAAACCCAAGCTCCGAGTATTGATAGACTTTCGGAAGCTAAACGAATTAACAATAGACCAGTTGGGAAATGTAAAATATTTCACTACATTAGATTTAGCTTCAGGATATCATCAGATTCCGATGGCTGAACGAGATAAAAATAAAACTGCTTTTTCAACTCCCTACGGTCATTACGAATTTAATCGAATGTCGTTCGGATTAAAGAATGCGCCAACAACATTTCAAAGATTGATGAATTCCGTCTTAACAGGAATACAAGGACTTAGACGTCTGGTATATCTCGACGATATTGTAATTTAGGGATCAAGTTTAGAAGAACATAATAAACGACTTAAAGAAGTATTACAAAAATTACGAAAATCTAATCTAAAGTTGCAATCCGATAAATGTGAATTTTTGGGCAAAGAAGTGATTTCTGGGATATATAATTTCAGAAAATGGAATATCATCCGATCCGTCAAAATTAACCGCAATAAAAGAATTTCCGATCCTAAAAAGAGTCAAGTATATTTGTTGAGGAAACTCTCTGTGTTATCGGTAAGAGTCCCAATTAGGAGGACTGAGGCCGCAAGAGGCCCGAGTAGGGCGAGCGCGCAGCTCCCTCGGGAGCGGCGCCAGCTTGACGGGCCCGAGGGAGCGCGTGCTGGGAGCGTGTGGCATTCCTTTGTTCGTTACGCTGCGGTTGAGCTCGATCGCGTTCTCATGCGTCTTATCTCTTGTGATTTTCTCTTGTGGTTTTCTCTCGTGATATTTTCTTGTGTCTTACCAAATCAGGAAGGTCGACCTTCGTCCAATTGGGGACAAAAGGAAAGGGGTAATCGTCTTCAATAGACGAAGGGCATACCGAAAAGTGATAAAGAATCGCAAAGATTCTCAGAAGGATATCTGTCGCCCACCCCCCTCTGCCGCAAGGTGATGAGTCCTCGTTCGACTCTTTCTCACAGAGCTTGCCGACGACCCTCAGTGAAGGGCGAGGTGAAGAGTCCTAGTTCGACTCACCCGCTGCATATCATCTACGAGGTAACAAGCCTGCCGACGACCCCCGCTGAGGGACGAGGTGTAAGAGTCCTAGTTCGACTCTCTCTTTGTCTTCCGCGTCAGTATAGTCCGAGTTCGACTCTCACATCTGACGTCACATTGTGTGATGTCACCTCGTCCCCCTCTCTACAGAGGGATGGGAAAACCGCTTTCTACGCTAATTATATTCTTTGAATTATATTTTTGGAAGCTACACTTAAGCTTTATTCGAACAATATTAACCTTGATATGTTTTCTATTATAATTGTTTAAGCACTTTAGTGCAATAAGTATATATTATAGATTATAAGACTGACCACCAACATGAACAAAGAAAGATAGTCACTACATTATTTGCGTGCTTTAGTATTAAATGAAACTTGTTTAATTTTTGCTCTGTGCATTATAACTAATACAACTGTTGTTATAATTTACTGTTATCAATACTTTAAGAATAGTAATTTTATTTATAAGACTTATTTGAGTCGTTAAAGGATAGATAGCGGTTCACAGCAGGTAGAAAAACCGATTCTGTAAAAATGTGAAACATGAAAAGTGTGTATTCTAACATTATTAGTATACCGAATATTTATTTAACATAATAAATAATACATGTGTGTTATATACACATATATAAAAAAAAATTATGACAGCCCAAAGTCTCGAATCTCGGATCCCGAGATTACTAGTCTGCGCTCTGCCGCTGGACTAGCGGCACCGATCGAAAAAGTGTCTTTCTTTAGGCCTGATAACGAACCTGGCAATTTCTCTACACTTCGAGAAAAAAAAATTTTTTTTTACAAGGCGCATTGGACGAAAAGCTCGAACACGGATCAACTTTTTTTCGACATAGATTCACCACACCAAAGGAGATCAAAATCGGTGATGAGTCAACCGCGACCTCCCCTTGTCAGTTTTGTTATAGTGCAATAAAACGGAGAGTAATTCTCTCGTGAACATTACTGTGACAAATCAAAAGAAGCAAAGTGCATCTCATTCAATCCTATCCATTCATCCCTCGCGAAATCACATTTAAGTCAAGCTTGCGATACCCACTCGGGTGTGTACCGGCATTACAATCTCAATTACAAGGTGCGATCCCGAACATACAGAAAAGAAGAAAAAACAAATTCTAGCCGAATATCATGATGCATCTATAGGAGGGCATCAAGGAATCGAACGAACAATAAAAAGAATTCGACTCCAACATAATTGGAAAGGTCTAATAAAAAATGTCGAACGATATATAGCAAAATGCGAATCCTGTCAGAAAAACAAATTATCACGGAAAAATAAAGTACCGTTAATAATTACAGATACGCCTAATAAACCGTTTGAAAAATGCGCATTAGATATAGTCGGACCGCTAACAATTACGACTAACGGAAATAAATACCCATTAATTTTTCAAGATAATCTAACAAAATTCAGCAAAGCGATACCAATACTAAATCAGGAAGCAAATACCATTAGTAAAGAATGTCACAAAAATAATACTTGAACATGGAATTCCAGACAAAATTCTAACAAGGAACAAGGAACGAATTTTATGAGTGAAATATTTAAAAACACTTGTAAATTGTTAAAAATAAACAAAATTCAAACAACCGCCTATCATCCAGAAAGCAACGGCGCACTGGAACGATCGCATAGAACATTAGCCGAATACCTACGACACTATGTAAATGAAGATCAGACGAACTGGGATGAATGGATACCGTTCGCAATGTTTACATATAATAGGACGCCGCATACTGCTACAGGATTTACACCCTTTGAATTAGTTACGGGTATCAAGCCGAAATTCCGACAGCATTAACGAAACCACCGAAACCAACATATAATTACGACGACTACGTGCAAGAATTAAAAGAAAGACTGAGAGCGAGTAATCAACTTACGAAAGAGAACAACTCAAAAAGGAAAAAGAAAAAGCTAAAAAGAATTACGACAAAAATACAAAGAAAGCTCAATTTAAAATAGAGGAGATAAAGTGCTAATGTACGACAAAACGTTACGATGGGAACGATCGAAAAAACTCGAATCATTATGGACAGGACCATACACGATTATAAAAAAGAATTCAAACGTAAACTATACAATACAAAAAGGAAGAAAAGCAGTGCGCATGCATATAAATAAATTAAAACTATTCATAGAAAATTAAAATAAAAAACTCACTGAGAAAAAAAACGCACACAACGTATAACATAATACCTAATATATTATTACAGATTAACATTAAGGATCAACCTCGTCTTCACAGAGCAAGACAAAACGTCTTTTCCGTTTGAAGTGACTGAATTCGATCACACTCCAGGAATTTATTACGAAAAAATTGGACAGCTACATCAAATCCAGAAGACATCTCAGAAACTCGTTATCAAATTAGATATAACAGAATTAAATGATAGAACTTGGCAAATAAATAAATATATAAAACAAACAAACGAAATGTGCGATAAGAACCGAAACTGATATCAAACGAACATGTGATAATTTAAAAAATATTATAAATAATGACTCTAACACGTTAGCCAAAATAATAACATTAATAAACACACCTTATTTAAAACGCCAACAAACAGACGAAGAGGCCTCATCGATGGAATAGGTTCAATAACAAAATCTTTATTTGGAATCATGGACGCAAATGACACACATTTAATAAACGAACAGATACAATTATTACAGAACAACCAACAAGTATTAGAACACACCGCAAAAAATCGAATCAAAGTTTTGAATACT